TTGGGGGGAAATTTGGGGATTTTGGGTTTGGGGGATTTTGGGGTGAAAATTTCCCGGGATTTTGGGAGGAATTTTATGGGACTTGGGTCGGGATTTGGGGACTTGATGGGAATTTTTGGGAATTTTTGGGAATTTTCTGGGATTTCAGTGAGGATTGAAGGGGGGGATTTGGGGGTCTGGAATTTGGTGGGATTTGGGGAAAATTCAGGATTAGGGATTAGGGAATTTGGGCCGGGATTGGGGAATTTGGGTGGGATTAGGGAATTTGGGCCAGGATTTTTTGGGCCGGGATTAGGGAATTTGGGTAAAATGAGTGGGATTTGGGTCAGAATTAATGGGACTCGAGTTGAAATTAATGAGATTTTGGTGGTAATTAATGGGATTTTTGTTGGAATTAAGGAATTTGATAGAGAATTAGTGGGATTTTGGTTGGGATTAATGAGGTTTGGGTCAGAATTAAGGGATTTTATCACAGAATTAATGAGCTTCGAGCCAGAATTTGGGGATTTTGGCCAGAATTGAGGGATTTGTTTTGGAATTCATGGGATTTGGGATAGAGTTAATGGGATTTGGGATAGAGTTAATGGATTTGGGATAGAGTTAATGGATTTGGGATAGAGTTAATGGGATTTGGGCCAGAGTTAGGGGATTTTATCACAGAATTAATGGATTTGGGCTGGAATTAATGGATTTGGGCCAGAATTGAGGGCTTTGGGTCAGAATTAAGGGATTTGGGTCAGAATTAAGGGATTTGGGCCAGAATTGAGGGATTTGATACAAAATTAGTGGGGTTTTGGTCGGAATTAATGGATTTGGGCTGGAATTAATGTGATTTGGGTCAGAATTAATGGATTTTGGGCCAGAGTTAGGGGATTTCATCACAGAATTAATGGATTTGGGCCAGAATTGAGGGATTTGATACAAAATTTGTGGGATTTTGGTCAGAATTAAGAGATTTGGGCTGGAATGAATGTGATTTGGGCCAGAATTGAGGGATTTGGCCCAGAGTTTGGGGATTTCATCACAGAATTAATGGATTTGGGTCAGAATTGAGGGATTTGGGAATTTGGGCTGGGATTAGGGAATTTGGGCTGGGATTAGGGAATTTGGGCCGGGATTAGGGAATTTGGGCCGGGATTAGGGAATTTGGGTAAAATGAGTGGGATTTGGGTCAGAATTAATGGGACTCGAGTTGAAATTAATGAGATTTTGGTGGTAATTAATGGGATTTTTGTTGGAATTAAGGAATTTGATAGAGAATTAGTGGGATTTTGGTTGGGATTAATGAGGTTTGGGTCAGAATTAAGGGATTTTATCACAGAATTAATGAGCTTCGAGCCAGAATTTGGGGATTTTGGCCAGAATTGAGGGATTTGTTTTGGAATTCATGGGATTTGGGATAGAGTTAATGGGATTTGGGATAGAGTTAATGGATTTGGGATAGAGTTAATGGATTTGGGATAGAGTTAATGGGATTTGGGCCAGAGTTAGGGGATTTTATCACAGAATTAATGGATTTGGGCTGGAATTAATGGATTTGGGCCAGAATTGAGGGCTTTGGGCCAGAGTTAGGGGATTTTATCACAGAATTAATGGGATTTGGGCTGGAATTAATGGATTTGGGCCAGAATTAATGTATTTGGGCCAGAATTGAGGGATTTGGGTCAGAATTAAGGGATTTCATCACAGAATTGAGGGATCTGGGCCAGAATTGAGGGCTTTGGGCCAGAGTTAGGGGGTTTCATCAGCGAGTTAATGAACTCCCATCCCCGCCTGTGGGATGGGGTCCGAAGCCTGGAGAGCTGGGCGCGGAACCCGCGCCGCTCCTCCCCAATTCCTGACCCCAAACCCTTCCCTCGCCCCCTCCCCAGCCCCTCCCCCTCCTTTTTGGGCTGGGATTAGGGGAATTTGGGTCAGGATTAGGACGGGATTAGGGAATTTGGGCCAGGATTAGGGAATTTGGGCTGGGATTTGGGCTGGGATTAATGTGATTTGCTGCAGAATTAATAGGATTTTGGTTGGAATTAATGGGATTTGGGCCAGAATTAAGGGATTTTAACACAATGAATTAATGAGCTTTGAACCAGATTTTGGAGACTTGGGCCAGAGTTAAGGGATTTTATTCCAGAATTAATGAGCTTTGAGCGAGAGTTAGGAGATTTGGGTCAGAATTAGGGGATTTGGGCTGGAATTAATGGGATTTGGGTCAGAATTAATGGGATTTGGGTCAGAATTAATGGATTTGGGTCAGAATTAGGGGATTTGGGCCAGAATTAGGGGATTTCATCACAGAATTAATGGATTTGGGCCGGAATTAGGGGATTTGATACAAAATTAGTGGGCTTTTGGTCAGAATTAATGGATTTGGGCTGGAATTAATGGATTTGGGCCGGAATTAGGGGATTTGATACAAAATTAGTGGGCTTTTGGTCAGAATTAATGGATTTGGGCTGGAATTAATGGATTTGGGCCGGAATTAGGGGATTTGATACAAAATTAGTGGGCTTTTGGTCAGAATTAATGGATTTGGGCTGGAATTAATGGATTTGGGCCGGAATTAGGGGATTTGATACAAAATTAGTGGGCTTTTGGTCAGAATTAATGGATTTGGGCTGGAATTAATGGATTTGGGCCGGAATTAGGGGATTTGATACAAAATTAGTGGGCTTTTGGTCAGAATTAATGGATTTGGGCTGGAATTCATGGATTTGGGTCAGAATTGAGGGATTTGGGCCAGAATTGAGGGCTTTGGGCCAGAATTTGAGGGATTTGGGCCCCCTCCTCCTCCGCCATGCCCCGGCCCTGCTCCCCCCCTCCCCCTCCTTCCTCCTCCTCCTCCTCCTCCTCGTCGTCGGCGTCGTCCTCGCTGCTGCACGTGGAGTTCCCGCAGGTGCCGCCGGCGCTGCTGTCCAACCTGAACCGGCAGCGCCTGGAGGGGCAGCTGTGCGACGTCTCCATCCGCGTGCAGGGCCGCGAGTTCCGCGCGCACCGCGCCGTGCTGGCCGCCTCCTCGCCCTTCTTCCACGACCAGCTGCTGCTCAAGAACCTGGACTCCATCGAGCTGCCCGGCGCCATGGACCCCGCGGCCTTCGCCGTGGCGCTGGGCTGCGCCTACACCGGGCGGCTGTCGCTGGCCCGCGGCGAGCTGCTGGGGCTGCTGACGGTGGGCAGCGTGCTGCAGATGTGGCACATCGTGGACAAGTGCACCGAGCTGCTGCGGGAGCCCGCCTCGTCATCATCGTCATCATCGTCATCTTCGTCGGCATCGGCGTCCTCCTCGTCCTCGCGGGTGCTGCCCAGCGAGCCGCAGTCCCCCAGCAGCACCAACGCGCTGGGCCCGGCCCCGCAGCCCCGCGTCCCGGCGGGAAAAGCGGGCAGCGAGGAGGAGGAGGACGAGGAGGAGGAGGAGGAGGAGAGCGAGGAAGGCCCGCGGGCCGCGCCCGCAAAGCCCTGGGTGCTGGTCAAGCGGCGCTGGCTGCAGGAGGACCTGGTGCTCACCTGCGAGGAGGATGAGGAGCCGCTGGGAGGGGGAAATCCCGGAATTCCCGGCGGGAATGAGGAGGGGGAGGGCGGGAAAGGGGTGGGGGGACCCGGCCGGGAGAATTCGGGGATGGGATCCAGGGAGAATTCGGGGATGGGATCCCTGGAGAATTCGGGGATGGGAGCCGGGAATGGCCGGGAAAATGCGGGAATGGGAGCTGAGAGGAGCCGGGAAAATTCGGGAATGGGATCCCTGGAAAATTCGGGAATGGGAGCTGGGAGGAACCGGGAAAATTTGGGAATGGGATCCCTGGAAAATTCAGGAATGGGATCCGGAAGGAGCAGGGAAAATTCGGGAATGGGATCCCTGGAAAATTCGGGAATGGGATCCGGAAGGAGCCGGGAAAATTCGGGAATGGGATCCAGGAGGAGCCGGGGCTCCTGGGGCAGCGAGAGGATCCACGGAATTCCGCACGGAGACGAGGGAATTTCACTCGGAAATGCTGAAATTCCACTGGGAAATGCTGGAATTGCGCACGGAAATGAGGAAATTCTGCACGGAAACGAGGGAATTTTGCGCGGGACCGGCGGGATTTCACGCGGAAGCGAAGGAATTGGGGGAATTTCGCCCGAAAACGAGGGAATCCTGCACGGAACCAGCAGAATTCCGCACGGAACCGAGGGAATTGTGCACAGAACCGGCAGAATTTTGCGTGAAAATGAGGGAATTGTGCACAGAAATTCCACTGGGAAATGCTGGAATTGCGCACGGAAATGAGGAAATTCTGCACGGAAACGAGGGAATTTTGCGCAGGACCGGCGGGATTTCACGCGGAAGGGGAGGAATTGGGGGAATTTCGCCCGAAAACGAGGGAATCCTGCACGGAACCAGCGGAATTCCGCATGGAACCGAGGGAATTGTGCACAGAACCGGCAGAATTTTGCGTGAAAATGAGGGAATTGTGCACAGAACCGGCAGAATTTTGCACGAAAACGAGGGAATTTTGACCGGAATGGGAATTTCTCACGAGAACGAAGGAATTTTGATGGGAACCGCTGGAATTTCCCACGAGAACCAGGGAATTTTGCACAGAACCGGCAGGGTTTCACACGAAAACGAGGGAATTTTAACTGGAATCAGCGGGATTTCGCACGGAAATTCGGGAATTTTGACCAGAACCGGCAGAATTCGGGACGGAACGGAGGAAATTTTGACCGGAACCAGCGGAATTCCGCACGAAAACGAGGGAATTCTAACCGGGCTCAGAGGAATTCCACACAAAACCTCGGGAATTTCGCACAGAACCTCGGGAATTTCGCAGGAAAATTCGGGAATTTTGGCCAGAACCGGCAGGATTCGGGACGGAACCTCGGGAATTTTGCACAGAGCCGGCGGAATTCCTGACGGAACCTCGGGAATTTTGATCAGGACCGGCAGAATTCCACAGGAAAGCTCGGGAATTGCAGGCAGAAGTTCAGCCCGGGCGGCGAACCCGCGCAGAGCGCCCCGCCCCCCGCGGGCAGGCCCCGCCCCCGGCCCCGCCCAGCCCGCACCTGCGGCCCAGGTGAGCTCGGCCAAGGTGTTCGTGTGCCACTGCGGGAAGGCGTTCTCGCACCGCAGCATGCGCGAGCGGCACGTGAACATGCACCTGGACCTGCGGCCCTTCACCTGCGCGCAGTGCCGCAAGCGCTTCAAGATGAAACATCACCTGACGGAGCACATGAAAACGCACACCGGGCTGCGGCCCTACACCTGCGGCACCTGCCACCGCTCCTTCATGTGGAGGGACAGCTTCGTCAGGCACCGGGGAGCCTGTGCGGGGACAGCCGGCACTGCTGAGTGACACCTGTCACACCTGAGTGACACCCGGCACACCTGAGTGACACCTGTCACACCTGAGTGACACCTGGCACACCTGGCACACCGGGGAGCCTGTGCGGGGACAGCCGGCACTGCTGAGTGACACCTGAGTGACACCTGAGTGACACCTGAGTGACACCCGGCACACCTGGGCACAGGTACTGTCACACCTGGGCACAGGTACTGTCACACCTGTCACACCTGCGGCACCTGCCACCGCTCCTTCATGTGGAGGGACAGCTTCGTGAGACACCGGGGAGCCTGTGCGGGGACAGCCGGCACTGCTGAGTGACACCTGGCACACCTGAGTGACACCCGGCACACCTGAGTGACACCTGGCACACCTGGCACACCTGGGAGCCTGTGCGGGGACAGCCGGCACTCCTGAGTGACACCTGAGTGACACCTGAGTGACACATGTCACACCTGAGTGACACTTGAGTGACACCCAGCACACCTGAGTGACACCTGTCACACCTGAGTGACACCCGGCACACCTGGGCAGGTGCAGGGACAGCCCTGTGTGACACAGTGGCACCTGTGGGGGCACAAGGACACGGGGCAGGGGACAGGACAGGTGAGCAGTGACACCTGTCACACCTGGTGGCGTCACACCTGGGGACGGGTGACGCCACAGCTGGGCAGGTGCAGGGACACAGGGGGGACTCGGGGTGATGTCATAGGTGTGACATCATCACAGAGGGGGGCTTGGTGACGTCACACCTGAGGGGTGACATCACACCTGGTGGGCTGGGCAGGTGAGGGGGGAGGGGACAGCTGGGTACGACGGTGACGTCACACCCAGGGGAGCCTGGAGGTGACACACCTGGATGATGTCACACCTGGCGGGGGTCACATGACACCTGGGCAGGAGGAGGGGTGTGGGCAGGTGACGTCATGGCTGGGTGAGCTGGGTATGACATCACACCTGGGTGGGTGATGTCATAACCAGGTGACAACACCTGGGCACAGGTACTGTCACACCTGGGCACAGGTACTGTCACACCTGGGCACAGGTACTGTCACACCTGTCACACCTGCGGCACCTGCCACCGCTCCTTCATGTGGAGGGACAGCTTCGTGAGACACCGGGGAGCCTGTGCGGGGACAGCCGGCACTGCTGAGTGACACCTGGCACACCTGAGTGACACCCGGCACACCTGAGTGACACCTGGCACACCTGAGTGACACCCGGCACACCTGAGTGACACCTGGCACACCTGAGTGACACCCGGCACACCTGAGTGACACCCGGCACACCTGAGTGACACCCGGCACACCTGAGTGACACCTGGCACACCTGGCACACCTGGGAGCCTGTGCGGGGACAGCCGGCACTCCTGAGTGACACCTGAGTGACACCTGAGTGACACATGTCACACCTGAGTGACACTTGAGTGACACCCAGCACACCTGAGTGACACCTGTCACACCTGAGTGACACCCGGCACACCTGGGCAGGTGCAGGGACAGCCCTGTGTGACACAGTGGCACCTGTGGGGGCACAAGGACACGGGGCAGGGGACAGGACAGGTGAGCAGTGACACCTGTCACACCTGGTGGCGTCACACCTGGGGACGGGTGACGCCACAGCTGGGCAGGTGCAGGGACACAGGGGGGACTCGGGGTGATGTCATAGGTGTGACATCATCACAGAGGGGGGCTTGGTGACGTCACACCTGAGGGGTGCACCTGGAACCCCCAAAAAACCAGCTGGGACTCCCCAAAACCCACCTGGATCCCCCTAAAAATCAGCTGGGGCCCCCCAAATCCACCTGGATCCCCCTAAAAGGCACCTGGACCCACGGAGGAACACCTGGAACTGCCCCAGGAACACCTGGATGGCCCCTGAGCACACCTGGATGCCCCCAAAAAGCACCTGGGACACCCCAAAAACACCTGGATCCCCCCAAAAAACACCTGGCGTGACTCTGGGACACCGGAATCTCCCCGAAGGACACCTGGATCCCCCCAGAGATTCCTGGATCCCCCCAAAACCCACCTGGACCCCCAAATATTCACCTGGGACCCCCAAATATTCACCTGGGACCCCCAAAATCCCATCTGGTCACTCCCCCGTGACGTCACAGGTGTGTCCGTGCCCCGCCCCCCTCCGGGATTGTATTTTTGGGTCGATTTGTGGCGGTTTTTGATTTCCATTGATAAAAAATCCAACCGGGGGCGTGGCCAAGGCGCATTTGAGGGCGGGGCTTGGGGAGAGGGCGGGGCCAGAACGTGGAGCTGGGAATTTGGAGGGGCGGGGTCTGAAGGGGTGGGGCACCCTGTGGGCGTGT